TGAAATACTTAACGATTTAGGGCTCGAAAATGTGAGGAAGAATCCTTTAGTGCTGCATGCAAGTTGACCCAGTTGGTAATTCTCCACAATAACTACTATGTGAGAATAAAACATCACATAGAAAAGACTGGCGATCTCTCCGCCATTTATGATCCAGACATCCTCTTGTCTCCTAACGGAGATGATTGTGATGTACGATACCATAAAGAAATAGCCTCCATTGACATTGGTGAATGCCCAGCCGCATGGATATGTATCTATTAATGGAGTCTTGTTTCAGCGGTATACTGACTGTTTGATTGTCTGTACTTGATGCAGATAATGAATGTTTACATGGTTTCTCTTAAAGCGATTGCTTGTCATGCCAAAGGCCCGGGTTCGATTCCCCACATGGGTACAATGTGTAAATATAGAATACTAAACGAGCTCCCGTGTAATACCAATTTTATGAAACGAGTGAATAGTTCTGGTATCTGACGAGCGAAAGCGAGTCAGATACCACAACTATTCACGAGTTTCATAAAATTGGTTTTACACGAGAGCGAGTTTAGTATTTTATTTATTACTTGTCATTTATAATGTTTTTAGAATTATACTGTTGAGTGTAAATAGGCTGACACCTACACGATCCATGGCATAATCCAATTGAGTTTAACAGAATAATACTTCAAACAATCAAAAGTTGAAACGTATGAATTTAATATCATACAATGGTCCACCTTTAGAATTCAGGCGTTCGTCCCACAAAATGATCGTAGTGCTAAGGCTATCACAACTCACATAATTTAACTTAGACTAACGACTGTCGTTGCGCTAGAGTACGATCGCCTTGTGGATGGGGCCTTGCACCTCAAAGTTTACAATCACGTCACAATACCCGATGACGTAATTTGTGGAATTTTGTTGCAAGATCCATCGGCGAAACAATGCCATGTGACGTCAGCCTAGCAACAAGGTTGCTGGGGTCATCGAGTGTGCATAAGCTCCTCCCAGTGATCTATCATCTCCACACACAATGTCGTTGAATACGCCAAGGGATGTTGAGAGCTTTCAATATTTGTTCGTGAAACGTGTTCCGAGAGTTCATAAGCACGCGTTTTGGTATTACACAATGTGTAATAAAGCTGTATGTTTATTAAACGGGTGATCTCTTCACGGGCAAGTAATAAAGCCCATTATGGTGTCCCAAGCTGTGATATTACTGGAATAATGCTGAAGCAGGGTAAACCTAAATCCACTCACTCACTTTATGAGAAGTAGTTTATTGGCAGGATGTATCAATGTGAAAGACATTTTGAATAAGATCAGATAAGATGAAATAATATTTTACTTCTCCAAAGAAAAATGTGTTTTACATCGTACGTATCATCATCAACAACACTTAGACAGAACAAATAATTAAAAGCAAGAAAATCATTTCCATGATCATAATAATCATCATTGTCACCATCATTGTCACCATCACTGTCATCACTGTCATCATCACCATCATCATTGTCATCATCACTATCACCATTGTCATCATCACCATCATCATTGTCATCATCACTATAACCATTGTCATGAATACTGTCACCATTGTCATCACCATCACCATTGTCATCATCACTGTCACCATTGTCATCACCCTCATCTGTCATCACTGTCACCATTGTCATCATCACTGTTACCATTGTCATCATCACTGTCACCATTGTCATCATCACTATCATCACTGTCACATCACTATCACCATTGTCATCATCACCATCACCATTGTCATCATCACTATCACCATTGTCATCATCACCATCATCATTGTCATCATCACTATAACCATTGTCATGAATACTGTCACCATTGTCATCACCATCACCATTGTCATCATCACTGTCACCATTGTCATCACCCTCATCTGTCATCACTGTCACCATTGTCATCATCACTGTTACCATTGTCATCATCACTGTCACCATTGTCATTATCACTATCACCATTGTCATCATCACTGTCACCATTGTCATTATCAACCTCATCTTTGTCATCACTGTCATCATCACTGTCACATTTTAACAATCAACATGCCTGGTCTTTGTATCGATGGCATTATTGCCCGGAAACAGTTCATCAATTATCATATGATAAAGATGTTTTCTTATGACTTGCTATACTATTCTAGCTCATCAAACTGAATTCATTGTCACAGGCGTCTTCCAACAACCAGACACTACGTGGGTGGCATAAGGAAAAATTGTTGCATTCTTAGTAGAATTATGTTTTATGAAACAAATGACAATAATATGATCCGTAAAAATCAATATTCTTTCAAGTCTATTCCAAGACAGTAATTAGTTAGATAAATACATAAAAATAACCAAAAAATTTACAGGAAAAATGCAAGAAATATGAGGAAAATGATCCACGTGTTTCTTCTCATTTCCAAATATGGAGAAACAAAAGCTGGCAGCACCGGTCCCTTGTGTTATCGCATTACTAGTCAGTCCGGCTCTGTTTCTTGCCAATTGGGAAGAATCAATAGACAAATAACTAGCCTGCATGCACAACATCATGCAACGATAAATGGCTTACAAGTAGCCAATGGATCTGCACTGAAACATTTAGCTAGGGCCTTGTATGACAGTGATACTAGTGCCTTGTTTGACTTAAGACAATTGTAGCTACGATGACTTCTGTGTGAGCCCTTGTCCATTTGTTGCCATTGCCTGCTGTCTGACAAGTTGTCTTTACAAGATAAACAATCTACTCAATGTGTTGATACTAGTGTCTTGTCTGTCGTAAGTCTATGTTATGGTATATAACTAATGACAGTCGTAGCTACGATGACTTCTTTGTGAGCCCTTGTCCATTTGTTGTCATTGTCTGCTGTCTGACAAGATGTCTTTACAAGATATACAATCTACTCAATGTGTTGATACTAGTGTCTTGTCTGTCGTAAGTCTATGTTAGGGTATATAACTAATGACAGTCGTAGCTACAATGACTTCTGTGTAAGCCGTTGTCTATTTGTTGTCATTGTCTGCTGTCTGACAAGTTGTCTTTACAAGATAAACAATCTACTCAATGTGCTGATACTAGTGTCTTGTCTGTCATAAGTCTATGTTATGGTATGTAACTTACGACAGTCGTAGCTACGATGACCTCTGTGTGAGCCCTTGTCCATTGTCTGATAAGTTGTCTTTACAAGATAAACAATCTACTCAATGTGCTAATACTAGTGTCTTGTCTGTCGTAAGTCTGTGTTATGGTATGTAACATACGAGTCGTAGCTACGATTAGTTCATGTATGAGCCCTTTTCCATTTGTTATCATTGCTGTCTGAACACAGAGGTCTTTATCAGATAAACAAGCGACTTGATGTTTTAATACCCAGGTGCCTTGTCTGTCGTAACTTTAAGCTGTAGACTTAAGACAGTCGTAGCTACGATTAGTTTATGTATCACTTCTTGTCCATCTCTTGTCAGTGCTGTCTGAACACAGTGGTCTTTACAACATAAACAAGCCACTGGATGGGTCAATATTACTTCCCGTCTGTTTTATAATACATAGTAGCTAAGGTAACGTTATGAACAAGCAATGGTCAAATTTTTTAATTACAGATCTCGTCACGTCATATACAATACTCGATATTAGGGTTGGTTAGATCTAGCCAGAGTCAGAAGAATCTCAGTTTTATTAAATATTGGACACTATATATGTGAGTGAACGAGTTTGAAGTGGATGAATGTTGCTGAAGTCAGCAATATTTCAGATGTATCATGATCGAATCTGGACCAGGCAAACCATGAGCCCCAATGAGTACCATCTCGCAATGAGGACACTGAGCCTGATCTCTGAAGTTGGTTTTACTAGCAAGCATGAGTTACTGGGAACCTATTCTCACCCAGAATCCCCACTTGACATAAACTAGGTAGTACTGTGGAAGCCATCCTCTATATCTCCAGGGGCTGCATTTTGCAAAACCTACACTAACGCCTGGATCAATTCCCATGGTTCCCGCGATCTCAAATTACCCGCCCTTGCTTTTCATTAGTCAGTTTTAATTGCTATGCTACTCAGTCTAATGGACCAATTAGAATGTGTGTTACAAACCAGCCTCAATGTTGGTTTGGCGATATCAACAACATGGCAGCCAATCCCATTGATGATGTTTGGGTTTTAAGAAATTCTTTGAAAAACTGACTAACAGGCAAAAGAAATCCTGAAAATCACAGGAATGGATTCAGGGGTTAGTCTAGGTTTACAGAAATGCAAGCCCTGGAGTGAGTGAGTGAGTGAGTGGGTGAGTGGATGGGTGGGTGAATGTATGCACGAGTGTCGTAAACATAGTATGACATGAACCCAAATGTAATGTTATATTTATTACCGAAGAAGATGTCTACATACAGAGGCGAATTTTAGCATTTACCAACACGGACAGTAAGTCGCAAAAGCAGCAGAACCACAATTTGTCAAATGACATTCAACAATCTTCAGCTATGACGTTGTTTCAAGTGTGATGTCATTCTGACCTCACGTCACAATAAGATTCGAATGACGTCAGTTGACGTCCAGATGACGGAAACAATACACTGTTGTCTCGTGACATGATATCACCCTAGGGCACATGATCTTTATGAACCCTGATATGTTTGCGCTCCTAGGTAATAAATTGACATAATGATTATAATGGGCCCTATTATTCAGTGAGTGAGTATGGTTTTACGCCACTTTTAGCAATATTCCAGCAATATCACGGCAGGGAATATCAGAAATGGGCTTCTCACATTGCACCCATGTGGGGAATCGAACCTGGGTCTTCGGTGTGACGATCAAATGCTTTAACCACCAGGCTACCCCAGAGCCTCTTGCAAGTATTGGAGATATAGAGGATGTATGGAACACTGAATTTCTGAAATGATATCATAAGTCAACATACAAGTGTTCAAACTGATAATTACTTATCAATAACGTAAGTCTTACTCTTACTAACAGATTAATAATGTTCAATTCTATCTTTTCAGCAAACTAGGCCAGTGTATGCACCGAAGAACACTACAATGTCACCCACAGCCACCCCCTCCGCACCAGGGTACCACACCCCTCAGGGATCCTGGACCCCCAACCCCTACTACCGCTCCTCAGGGGTAGGGATGCGGTACTCACAGCCCCACCCTGCAGCTTACGGCAGCTATGCACAGTCACCGGTAGGTGCCTCTTTTCTATCACAACCTCAGCCTTGATTGGGACTTCAGTCACAAGCTCAGCCTTGATTGAGACTTTTCAGTCACAAGCTCAGCTTCGATTAGGACTTTTCAGTCGCAAGCTCAGCTTTGATTGGGACTTTTGAGTCGCAAGCTCAGCTTTGATTGGGACTTTTGAGTCGCAAGCTCAGCTTTGATTGGGACTTTTGAGTCGCAAGCTCAGCTTTGATTGGGACTTTTGAGTCGCAAGCTTTTTAGTTTAGCGTTTATTGGGACTTTTCAGTCACAACCTCGGCTGTGATTGGGACTTTTCGGTCACAAGCTCAGCTGTTTTGGGACTTTTCAGTCACAAGCTTAGCTTTCATTGAGACCCTTCAGTCACAAGCTCAGCTTTCATTGAGACTTTTTAGACACAAGCTCATTTGTAATGTGGACTTTTAGTCACAAGCGCAGATGGTGAATGAACTTTTTAGCCACTAGTTCAACTGGAATATGGACTTTTCAACCACAAGTTCCGCTGTTTTGTGATTTTTCAGTCTCAAGCTCAGCTGTTTTTGGACTTTCCAGTCACATGTTCAGCTATAATGTGGTGTTTTCAGACACCCGCTCTGGGCCTATTTTGTTTTCTTGGTATTTGTTTTTCAGGTTTCATCGAAATGTAGCCAAATATTTTTAGTAGCAAATTTGCTCATGTGTTGGCTCTGAATTCTTAAGGTCCGGGTACTGTGTTTTGGTTTGATGTTTTTATGTTTGAACAAAGTTTATGGACAATAAAGAAGTTTATTTCACTCACTCACTCACTCACTCACTCACTCACTCACTCACTCACTCTGACAACTTCCCAGAGCTAATACATCCTAATTTTGGAAATCATGCAACAAATGAAAACCAGATGGTCACAGGTGGAAACTTGCCAAACTCCATATTAAAACTTGCCTCAAAGAGAGCTTTATGATTTGGTTTCCAATTTCCTCTCTGTGAGGTTCCGCTTGCTACTCAACTCATGATGGGCATAGTCCTACTTTTCACACCAACCAGAGTGAGTGAGTGAGTGAGTTGTTACCGCTCTTTGCAATATTACATCAGGGGACATACATGAATAGACCTTTCACATTTAGCCCATGTTGGGAATTGAAGCCATCTCCGAGATGCTTTTTGCTGTCATTATGTGTTACATCAAATTCTATCAATGCCGATCAAGTGAAATATATTACGAAATTTGTCAAAAGACATTGCCAGTACTTCAGACTAGTTTTTTACTTTGCTTCAAACATTGTCACATGTTCATTGAATAAGCAAATTACTAATCCCTCATTTAGGGACCGCGTTTGATATTCGAGGGAGGGGAGGGGTCCTTGGATTGTGTATCGAGATTAGATACTTTTTGAGCTACAGATAGAAAACCAGATATTTTTTATTTGAAATTTTGAGCCTTATGTTTTGAAGTAAAACACCTCACAACAATGTAATTTTTGTGGCAGGCAATTTATTGTTTTTTCAACAGTCTGAAGTATTTTCGGCAACTACTTATTTTTGGGGAAAAATCCCAGGTACCCCCCTCCCCAGAGTACCAAATATCCGCTCTTTAACTTCACTGTCAACCTCATCATCGCTTAAAGTTGGTGGGGGGGACATGGGTGGCATCATCGAATGCGCGCCGCAATTCGCTGTGCAGAGTTGCGTCCCTTGGGCACGCCAGAAATCTATGATTGTGGGTTCGAATCCCGGTTTGCCCCCATTATGTTTCTAGGTTTGTCAGCACCATACCCATGCTCATGGGTTTCACCGAAGTGGTAAACGTCTGAGACCTGCATCACTTCTGGCTTTTCTCCCACATTAAGCTGACATGCCGTGATATAACTGGAATACTGTTAAAAGCGGCGTTAAACATAACTCACTCACTCACCTTAAAGTTGACACCTTGGACGTCTGTTGGAGCTGGCCCTTTCAGTTGGAGATACCTGTGACAGAATACCTAGTCACTTTGATGTCTGCAGGAATGTGTCACCTGTTTGTGTATTTGGTTCAAATGAAGCCTGTTAGCATGGAAAGTGTTCTATTGAATGCATGCAAACTGTTGATGGTGTACTATACATCCTTTGTAGTAGGCTCAGAACTTTTCAGCAACCCTGCGTGCCTGGATTAAATGAGGTGCTGAGCCACAGGATTATTAATGTTATTAATGTGCCAAAGGAGAGGATGTTCAGATTCATTAAAGTCAAACATGTTCACTGTGATGACCTTCACCTTGCTATTACGATCCTAATAAACATGTAGCTGTAAAACGTGTAAACATTTTTTCAAGTCTAAAGGAGTATTAAAGGGGACTGTGTCCTTGACATATACAGGTGGGGAGCTTGAGGCGAGGAATACTGCAGTCTCTGTAGCCTTATATATACCTGTGTCAAAAACAACCACGTTCCAATTTATTAACTGCGAAGAAACATTAAAAAAAGATTTTAATGTTCCATGTATTGCATCATGTATGTACGTTCCACCATGAGTGTCGTATTTATTATTGGGTGTGTAATTTGTGCAAGCACATTTCAAAGGTTATAACACACTCGTGGTAATTTAACGATATGAGTCGCATGTGTCATAGCAGGCTAGGTGTGTAAGACCGTGTGTTTGTATGATTTCATGTTCACTGTGCAACTCGACCTGTCATTTATCAGAAGTCCCTTAACCACATTTTATAAATATAAGCGACAAAGCCCTTTCAATATTTATAAGAATATTCATCTCATTATGTGTTTATAATCACCATCAAATAGTCATGATACCAGGTGTTCTTAAAAAGGTGAGCGTATCCTCCCCTACTGGTGGCACCTATCACAAACACATGCCATGGCAAGTCAATTATTCACATATAACAAAGAGTTATGCTTATAACAAAGTTGTTCACTTATATTTCCATTCATCTTTTTCAGTTTCTTTTATGACTTTATAAAATTGGTATGGAAATTAGCCAAAGTAATTAGTAAATATTTTCCCACTATGTGAAATTTCAGTTTTGCATCTGTGGAAACTGTTTGTCTTAGAGGAAACTGAATCATGACATAGACTTTAGAATCTCAATGGATATATGGAGTAGAATGTGATTGAACAAACAACTTCCTGAACATTAAATTCTTAACCATATCGTAAGTTCAAAAACATTGCTACTTGATTACAAACCAGATATAGACACCTTTTCCCTGATTTTCTTTATTGATTGAAAGAAAATTAATTTCAGACATGTCACTTAGTGCTTGCAGCACAACAATCCAAATACCCTTCAAAATGTAGCAGACGGTCATTCTGGCAGCCATCTTGGAATACAACACAGACAGCATGTGTGGTGCAATGGTTAGTTTGATCATTTGTATTGAGTGGAGACACCAGTTCCTGTAAAATATTGGAGAAGAGATAGATTGTTGCATTTTGTCAGCTTCCAATACATCAGGCCATGACACACTCTGATTGAGAGAAGGCTTGTTGGGTTTCTTGTTGGTGTCATGTCCTCTGGAGTTCCGCCTGGGCGTGCTAGCATTACTATAGATAGATATTGTCAGAGAGCTGTCTCTGTGACAGGAAGTTTCCCCCACTACCCCCATACCACCCCTTCTCTCTCACCCACCTCCTCCTTACCTCCCCCAGACACTTCATGTGTGGATCCAAAGGTGGATGCAGTGGTGCTCATCCCCGCGATGAAGTATACGGAACATTTGGAAGTTATATTAGTGATGAGGTATGGTAAGTGTAAGAAAAACACACATTAAACATGTCACATATCACATACCACATACCACATACCTCATACCACATACCACATACCACATATCACATGTCACATATCACATGCAATATATCACGTATCACACACCATATATCACATACCACATACCACATTACACAAATCAAATATCACATACCATATATCACATATCACATATCACACATCACATGCCACATACCACGTATCACATATCAGATATAAACTAGGATTGGGATGAGTCCAAGTTTACTACATGGGTACCCAACCCCCTATTACCCTACCCTCCCAGGGTATCTACTGAAGGTCTCAAGAGATGGGTACAAAATGTCTAATTGGGAATAGTTTGACACTAGCCCTGGAAAAATGTATTTAGATACACATATAAAATGATCTTGTCATGGACTGATTCTCATGATGTCAGTCATTGGATTGTCTGGTCCAGATTTGATCTTATTGATCTCCCTGAAATATTCCTGAGTGTCACATTCGACAAACAGACAAACAAAACCTACACAAACGATAACTGACTCATTGGGTATATACTTTCAACAAAAAATAAGAGGACTACCGTATTCGACGTAATATGCGCCCAGGGCGCTCTCAAAATTAGAAATAGGGGGCTCTTATTAGAACATTATTTGGTGAAAAAAACAGAGTTGAAAGATAAATTTCGTGGTTTATGCTGACAGCCTACAATGTTTATGTACGACAGATATATTTTTCCAGAATTTAATTGCCCATAATTAAGGATGCATATAACACACTAGTGCATATTATACGCGATTTAGTAAGTCTTGTGTACATTGATCAATCGAAAAGGGTGCTAATTGGGATTGTTCACTAGCCAAAATATTAGCAAATATCGCAGTGGGCGCTTATTAGAGCAGGGCACTTATTACGTCGAATACGGTACATGTACTATGAAAAGTACTGTTTGAATAATTTGCATTCATTAAGCACTTGTATGTGAACTTGGGATTACAAAATACACCTCCTTTTTGCCATTAAGCTTTATCCGCACGTTGAAACGGTGATTTAAAAAGCCTGCCTTAAGGAAGACCAAAATAATACTCAATGGACAATAATGCCTGTGATGATTGTTTTTCATATTCACTTCATAACAATGTGTTTCACAATAGTAAAACTTCCAAATGCTTTGACTGTTGAAAATAAATAAATGATATATGGAAATATATGTTTAAGATATGTAACAATTTTTATATGTAGTGTCAATAAATATCCAGAA